AAAACACACACACACACACACACACACACACACACACACACACACACACATACGCACTCCACAAAAGCCCTTTCTTCTTCATGGTGTTTGTTTGTTTGTTTGTTTGTTTTAATTGCTACAGTTGTCAGTACTGACAAACCAAAATCCAGAGAAAATCATATAGTATAAGGGTTTTTCAGTTTACCCTTGCTACTTTGTTACTAGTTTAGATACACATTTTTACTTAGTACAATTTTCATTTGATCCAATAGTGACAAAAATAATTGAAATGTAATAAAAGTTCCACAGTACTGGCCCTACTATATCTATTCACCATACAAGAAAAAAGAACTTCATTTTTACTTAAAATTGTTAAAATTTACCTCACCAGCATACAAAGTCACTTATGTAAACATCATACAACACAAGTAGAACTTCACACTTGGAATGCACCAGAGGCCAATCATCCTTACAGTAGAGAGTTAAATGTATTTCTGCAAATCAAGAGTATCAGTGTTTCAATTCCATCTAAGGTAATGTCTACGAAGTTAAAATATAGTACAAGTCCCAAAGGGATTTGTTCTATGTTTGGCCATTCAGGGGATACATAATGACGAATGACTTTCAGTAGATGGCAGACGTATATTTTAATATTAGGATAATATCAGTAATAAACTATAATATAGGCTTCTAAGTTTCAAAGAACTTCATGAATGTTTGACATGCTTAATTAATCTTAGACTTACCAGCTTTTCTTTTTTAATATTCATTTTTCACAAAGAATAAAAAGAACACTTGATGTGATTTGCTCAGTGTCACATAAATCAATCTTCCCTTGGTTAACAGATTTATTTACAAATCACAGAGATACTTTTTTTTAAAATGGTAAGAAAACACTTGTTTTTCGTTTCGTTTTGTTTTGAAGTATCTGGAAGGCATCAAACAATAAATGAAAGAAGAGAGTTGGCATATATATTTTGAGAGAAAAATTCACATTAGGAGTTAAAAATCATTCTGGTTCGGAAAGAATGTCAGGAATCTGCATGCCATATCTCTTTTTTACTCCTTTCATATTAGGACTAAATCCTAGAACAGGGTGGGACAAGAATGCAACACAAAGCATTATTTATATATCCTTGTAAAGTTCACAGTTTTAAAATCCAAAATCTTCAGGTTGTAGTTTCATTATATTACTTGTTCCCTATAAAGTTGAGACATTATTATTATTTGAAAAGCAGATCTGTGTCATCAAACGTGAAAGAGACCTTATAAACACATCAGAAATGCCCGTAATATTGAAAGCTCAATCCAACTGTAAGAGCCTCTCTCTTGACCATTCTTTCTTTTTTTTTTACTAATAATTTAGAAAATAAAGAAATAAAAAAGAAAAATTAAAAAACCACAAGAGAACTATGGCTAACATTTTGATGTTCCTCCCTCTAGTCTTTGCACTAATTATATTTTACCAAAATCATAATCTTATTGCATATATAGATATACATGATATAGATATAGTCTTATACCCTGATTTTTTTTCACCTCACCTTTTTTATCATTACCAGTTATGAATTTTTATCAACAGCTCAAAGAGGTATACAGTTTTTAAGTGTTATCTTTATTTTTTCCTGAATTTTAGAATTAATACATGCTCATTTGTGTGGGGGCGGGGGGTTTAAAACAAATCACAAAAGTATAAAAAAGAAAAAGGTACATACATCCTTTTATAAAACTTTAATCCCATCCCTCACCCTAAAAAAAAGCTACTTTTAACAGTTTACTCAATATCTTCCCTGTGTTGTTTCTGTAGTACATAAACAATGATAATTTGTTTTTCTATTCTCTCAGTAATGAACATTTATGAGGTTTCAATTTTTCACTACATGAATAGTGCAATTTACATTTTTGCATATTAATATTCAAAGTAATAAAATAGAAAGTATTTCAAGATTCAAAAATAAAATATTTCTCTGATTTTTCATAATTGGTAACCAACATACAGACCTTGCTTTATTTTTAAATTCAAATTTGTGCCTATATTTTATTATTGTTATTATTTATTTTTAATTATGGGCAATTTTAGCACTAAATTCTAATATTTCAGAAGTCCCTTGGATGGATGGATGCATACATAATAGTTAGTCATGGGCCGGCCGAGTGGCTCAGTTGGTTAAGAGCTTGCTCAAGAGTTTGAGCTCTGAGCAACAGCGGTTCGAGTCCAGCCCGAGCTGAGCAGCTGCTGAGCTGCCAACAGGTAGCAGGATGGCTCAGAAAAAAAAAAAAAAAAAAAAAAAAAAGGAACATAATAGTTAGTCATTATTTCCGGGTTTTACTACCCTAAATCTGCCATGCCAATCAAGCAGATTTTTTAAAATTAACCAAATTGATATCAGGAATTATTAGAGAAATGCACCTAATATACCAAATTATCGAATTCTCAGGAAGTTGTGAAAGGTCTGTGTAACTCTCGCAATAGTATTTGGCATCTACAAGGACAAACAACACCAACACAGGAGGCTTACATGACATTCCAAGTCCAAGTTCATATTTTACTTAGATACCCACCTCCAAAACTATCACAAGGTAATCAGGGACATTTCTGGCAAAAGCCCAGAGTTGCATATACCTGTACATAATATGTCTCTACACATTAAAAAAGTTATTCCTGAAATGCAAAAAAATAATAATTTAAACACAATACATAATATATTTTGTTTAATTTATCTCAAGGCTAGTTTATTTGAATACACGTGGGAATCCAGGATCATCTTACAACTGATAAAAGTTAACCGTTGTTTAATTTCATGTGAACATGATTTCCAAACACATTTCACTCCCAAAACAATCACATAAATTAGTCCCAAGTGATGTAAATTAGTCACTTAAAAAAAAGCTGCCTATGAGGAAAAGGTTAAATATAAATATCTATAAAAAACACTCACATGTTTAAAGGTTTACTTTGGGATTAGTGTGGGTACTTGGGAGAGTCCCAATGACAACACTTACATGTATAAACCATCTTCTTCACAGCACCAGCAACTTTGGGGTAATGACCTGTGAAGGCAGAGCATCCCCCAAATGATCTTCTCCCCCTTTGCCTTTAATGGGAGTTAAAGTGCAAATTTTGACTAAAGTACCTAATACTAGACACCATTTTGCAAAGTGAAATATGACCACATCATGTAGCATTCTCAAAGGAAGGGTTCCAGAAAGAGTTCCATAACTCTTACAACCCCTTACCTAGGTAGAAGGTAAAAAGGGAGGAGATTATTGAAGATGAAGGTTTTTAGAGAAAGTTGCCAGCATGCTGTTGTGGACTGAGCTTTCTCTCAAGAAGATCTACAGGGTCCTGGGTTACTCACCTGAAGCCTGAGGCTCAGTGCTTCAAGGGACCACCCAGGGAGTTTAAAATTGTTTCCTCATTATCCTCAGGTTCAGAAGGTAAAGTATTTCCCTTGGACCAGCTCTAAGCCACGCAAGAGAGAGAACTGTCTTAGATATTGTTCAAGGATCACTCGCTGGAAAGAAGGTACCAGAGCAAATAGAAGCAAAGAGTGTACTTCTAAAACTCCTAGGTGTTGTGAAAGCCAAAATAAAAATGTACTTCTGCGTGTCAAGGAGAGACATCCCAATGATGAGAAGTTTCCAAAGAAGCACCTGCTGGAAAAAGGAGTAGTGTTAAACACATGCCAAAACCAGAGATGTAAACACTAGATCAACAACAGTTCTTGCCATGTAAAACTTTCTGATCACCCTCACCTCCTCTCCTCTATGAGCTCTAACTCTGGAGCAGCAAGAAACCTTAGTTAGCAAGGTGAGGAATGAGATGAAGCACTTTAGGAGGGATAGGAGGGAGGGAGAGAAAAGGAGAGGGGGGAGGGAGGAAATGAGAGAGAGAGGGAGAGGAAGCCCCAGTACTTCCATTTTCCACAGTTCTTTGCCTTCAGCACACTCGAGCTGAGAGAGGGAAGACACTTAACTTTAAAACAAGATTGAAATTTTTATCATTACATGAACATGCAGATTACAAATTACTATGATTAATTTTCTCAATTAGAAGTGATCAGAGAATTGTTTCATTTTTTATATATGCTTATTTAATTCAAACACAGAATTTTCATGAATTAAAGGAATGGAGATAGTCAAACATTAATAGAAAATCATTACTCATCTGCGTGTTCAAACCTTATGCAACGTTTCAATCTATCTGGTTTTATGAAGCCAAAACCTTGAATACAAACAAAAGCGTAAAAGTTCACATTGCCTTTTATGTATTTCTAAGTATCAAGCTGCATCAATGTATTTTAAATTAAATTTAAAGTACAGGCATGCCCAATTCTTTCTTTTTTTTTTTTTTTTAGCTGAGCCCTCCTGCCACCTGTTGGCAGCTCAGCTCAGGCTGGGAATCGAACTGCTGTTGCTCAGAGCTCAAACTCTTCAAAGAGCTCTTAACAACTGAGCCACTCGGCCAGCCCATGCCCAATTCTTTTTAATTCCACAAATAGCTAGCATCCCATAGCAAACACACCTCTCTGTTTCTTAGTAAACTCTTTCCAATCTCCAGAATAAACTCAATGGTACTGGATCTAGTACATGACTTGCATGTAAAGATGGTTTCATTCATTACTTCATAGTAGTGATATAGCAAAGAGGGAAAATTTTCAACTATTGTATTTATTTAAAACAAATCGACAGGTTCAAGCACCTGTCTTCAGGAAAGCCAGCAGCATTTATTGAATATATTGAAAGTACCATTTGGCCAAAGCCCTTCATACCTCCCTGAATAGCCATGAAACTCAACACCCTCAGAAGATGTTGAGAATTGTTTGATTTTAATAAGAGTGACCAGAAAAGTCATGGGAACTCATTTCATTTTCATGTGCAAAAGGATCAGACCATTTTATTAGCTGCTCCTTTGTCTTATTTTCTCCTGGTCTTGACTTTCAGACACATGCTATCCTCCCCTTCATGCTACAGTTTACTAATAACAACAACCCACACTGTTAAGCGCCTGTCCTGTGCCAAGCACTCTACTATGTATTTTATATACATTTCTCACTTCATCTTTATACAACCTTGTAGTATTATCAACCCCCTTTTACAGATGAGGAAACTGAGGCTTATCCACAGTTGCATCATTAGAAAGTAAAGCATCCGGGAATTTCACCCAGGTAGCTTGGCTCCAGGGTCTTGTCATCTTTTTCTGAAAGAATGAGTGAAGTGGAGTCTCTTAGTTCAAAGGATAAAAAATATCAGGCTTTCTTTCTTTAATAAAACATATGTGGATCTCCCCCATTTCATGAAAAAAAAAAAAGGAAACATTCCACTAAAGTTGAAGTAGTAGAAAAGTAAACATAGCTATTTTTGTAATCATACAACCTGCTGACACACACACTTATTCCAAACTCCTGGATGATGTCATTGTGTCAACAGTCACAAAGCTTCCTGGATCCAGACATAAACTGACAATAATCCCAACAACAATATCTAAAATGCGAAATGTTGAACCTTTAAAAACTGCGTTTTCACATTTTAATCTAATTTTATTCTCACAATGATCCTTTGAGCGGGTATTGTTCATGCTATGTTTTTGATGAGGAAACTAAGATTAAAAGCTTTTAAAATTGTGGTTTATCAAAAACTAATACATGACAGAGCCAGGACTAAAGGAGGCATATGTCAAAGGGAAGTTGAAATGTCAACCCATTTTTGTACCAACTTCTAAAGCCCTCTTTACGACCAATATTTATACCAATCATTCTTGATCCTTATGCTTTGCAGTTTTCCAGAATCAATATGCCTCAGAAATCCTCTACCATACATCAAATCCCTCACTTTATTTGGATGAGATCATTCATGGCAAGTAGCAGCGCACATGGTTTTCAGATGTAGAAACAGAGGCTTCAAAAGGCAAACAACTTGGCCACTTCAATGGAATGCACGAATCTTACAGAATTTTACAAACCTGAGTTGAATTTATGTCTTAATATGGAAAGACATACCTTTTCTCATGAGAGAGAGTATTCTAGAATTTCAGAACCATGCCAATATATTTCACAGTAAGCGAGCCATTCAGGGCTCCCTTCTCTGAGAAAGCAATAGTCCATGCAAGCAATTACTCCTGCTAATTAAATTCCAGGCTTTTTTTTTTCCTTTCTTTTCTGAGTTCCAAAAGTTGAAACATTCTTTTCTAACTCTTCATTTCCTTCTAAGGAAAGACTCATAAATGTCCCCACTCTCTGACCACTGTATTTTTCATACTCTCGATGGCCACAGATGCTACTAATTCACTAGCACAGAGGTTCCCAGATTTTAGCACGCCTCAGAATCATCCGGGAGTCTTGTTAAAACACAGATTGCTGGGCACCACCCCCAGAGTTTCTGATTCAGTCAGCCTGGAGTGGGGACAGATAGTCGGCATTTCTAACACATTTCCAGGTGATGTGGATGCTGCTGGTCTGGGTACCACACTCTGGGAACCACAGGACCAGTAGTACTTCTCCATGTTCCCTTTAAAGGTCCCCACAGAAAAGCATTCAGCTGCTAAGGTTTATGAATTGCACAAATGGATTTCAGTGCCTTGGCCTCACATTGAAAGCTTCTATCTGGAGGGGGGGGAAAAAAAGATGGTTGTCATGACTCACTGTCTTTTCAAGCTTTGCCAGCCACAAAATTAGAAACAGAGAAGGGCTAAACTGAAAGCAAAATGAAAACAGCTCAAGTAAAAAACTGTCTAAATTTTCAGACTGATGGCATGATTTCTAGAGGTAGGACAAAAGAGAAAAGAATGATTCAGGTAGACCCTAGGCTGAGCCCATTAAGAGCTGGCAACCCCGAGACTGCCAGAAACACCTACAAGCCCTCCTTCTAACCCCAGAAGCCAGTCAGACACTTGGCTCCCAGTTTTCTTTAACTGTCAGCAACAAGTTCTTCCATAGAGCTCTCCAAACACATTATCGACCTATAACTCTTTAAATTAATTAACTTCTTCTACAACTTTCTCTGCTATTTTTTTAACACAGAAAAAAAATATCAATTGCCAATAAGCAAATACTGTTGGAACATCAAGCAGGTAGACTGAAAATCTGAAGAGAGAAGTTTCCGTCAGGTTCCTTTATTTTTGTAATTATCGCCTCTAGACAAATCTCAGGGAAGACTTTAATTCTGTTTTTCTTCTCTGTGAAGGAAAATAAGGCATTTTATGTTATGGTATAAAGCTCTTCAGTATTCTAGTTTACTTACCAAAAGTGTGACTAGTCTTTTACATAGCACTGTTAACGTTAAATAACAAAATGTGAGAAGAAATATTATTATATAAGATGCAACATTTCTGCTTAGAAAATAAGCTGTTAGTTCTACCTTTAATATAGCGATATTTTGCAGAAACCACTGACCTTTCACTCTGATCAGCACGAGTCCATTCAATTTCAAAACTATTCACTGCCAGCCAATGAAGAATATGCTACTAAGTAATAAACCTACACCATCCAAATGTAGTTCTTCTGCTCCAGTCGCAAGAAAAAGAACACAGAAGCATAATGATAAGGTCACTGAGTACACCAATTTTTAAAGAAGTCTTTCTGTACGAACACGAGTCACCAAAACTACTTCCTTAGTGATAAAAGTTGCCTAAGTAACCTAGAGGCCTTATGATGCTAAGACGTCCATGGGCAGTGTGCCATGACTAGTTTCAAACCCCACTAGTCATTTCCGTTTCTTAATTGCTAACTGTTCTTCCCGGCTGCAGTGTGGGGCCTGTGTTTTATGCAGTAACCCAGCAACTAGTTATTATGCTATATTTTATCCAGGACAACAAAACAGTAACCGTTACATTTCCAAGAATGTCAGGGTGCAAGTCGATGTTATTTCACTCTGGCTTTATGGGGGGGCATTATGTGAAACTAGGTGTCCATGTGGCAGCATGATTACGCAAGACTTAGAGATGAAATGATTTAACAGAGAAGAGAGAAGGAGGTCAGGTGCCCTCTGAGTGCAAGGAAGGTGCTAGATTCACTTATGTCTCCTTAGCACCCAGCAGGGAGCCTGGCACATGGTAGGACTCAAAATATATTGGCTGAAGGGGCTCACTGGTTCTCTTCAGAAGAAGTCGGTCTACTAAGTCACTGTGCCATTACCAAGTTAGGATTTTTATCAGGCCGTTTAACACTTTCATGCATTCTTTTACCCTTACATCTACAATGGGACTGTGATATTTTTTGCTCTTACCCTTGTACAAATGTGAGGGGCTTGAAACATGCCCCATTTAAAAACGGAGCTGGTGTTGATGAGCATTACTTGGAGAAATCTTATGGCAATGGCAACAATATTAGTATTGTGCAAAAGATTTTCAAAGCTGGGGAGTAAGCTCATATGTGCGATCAGTAACATTGCTTTAATTCAGCCTTGAGAACCTTGGCTGTCCTGTAATTCGCTGAACCTCTCATTTCACACAACTGTCTCATGATTCTTGGACTGTACAATATAAGTACCCCAAACATTAATAAATCTCCCTAAAATTCACAGTAATAGAGAGTAAGTATGGAGAGAAGTTGTTCTTACTTATAGAGGTAATGTGTTCCAAAAATGTGGTCAGTTATTTCTTTTCCACTAGCAAATGTGGTAAAGGGTTTTTATTCACTTAATCGTATGCAGGAGTCATATGCCATAGCTATCAAATTATTCTGGTGGGTTGAGTCAGAATTAAGAAATGAGATCTCCACAAAAAAACCCTAAAAATGTCCATAAATGTCTTGATGATTCATTAAGGGCATCATATTCTCTGAATAAAAAGGGATACTATTGCTGCAACAGGAAGGAGAAAAAAGTCCAAAAAGATAGATGGACACCATGATAAGAAAGCCAAAAAGACTTCGATATGTCAGCAACGTAGTACAAAAATACCATGACTTGTTAGGTACCCTAGTACAGTGAAGTTTAGAGTGTAGGGCCTAGAGCCAGAAGTCCTGGGTTCAAATCCCAGGTTTGCCACTTACTGGCTGTGTAAGTTTAAGAAAGATACTTAACTTGTCTGTGCCTCAGTTTCTTTATATATCTAATAGGGCTGTGTGAGGATTAAATAAGTTAACACATAGCAAATAAGTTAACACTTGGCATGTAGTAGTCACTCATTATAAAGTTATCATTATGATTACCATTAGCTTTTCTATCTGGGCCAGAGTTCGAGTTTAGTAATGATATCACAGTATGCCTGGTTATTGTTATCATTGTTTTTGTTTGTTTGTTTGTTTTTTCCTTTCTTCTTATTTTTTTTTTATTGTTAGTTTCAGGTATACAGAACAATGCAATAGTTACCCTTTTCACCCTCACAAAGTAACAACCCCCTCCCC